TATGAATCTAATAAAAACTCAATTTTCAAAAAATTGTAAAAAAGGGCTGTTTTAATAGATAACACCCCATATATGATATGCCATATCAGATATATATCACATTAGATTTTCGACAAATAAATAATAAAGCCTAAAGCCTTATTTTCCTTTGTTAGCGATTATATATAACGGCTCTTGTGTATTCATGTAACAGGTAACATACTTGTATATGATGATTATTTCTTACCATATAGTCTGTCGTTTGACAGGCTCTAATACTAATACTTGTGAAATTAACTCTACCACTATAATAAAAAAACAAAAAGAATTAAATATATTTCTTTAAACATATTATGTTTTCCTAAAAGCCTATTTATTTATTATACCGAAGTAATATGATATCTAAAATCTATAGATTACCGTATTATAATTAACGCTTATTGTGAAAAAATCCATTAAACCATACAAAGTTCGTTGTAATCTCTAAAATTTTCAAATGTTTTTATTTCTTACAACTACATTTTTACTCATTAAAAGTTCTTTACACTATGTTCTAAAACATTATTACGTAGCTCAACAAAACGTTTTATCTATTCTTAAAAAAGTTTTTGCTTTGTTAATTTTTTTTTATTAAGTCAAATACATTCGACCATTTAGTAATTATATATAGTTCTATAGTTATAATATACTTAGAAATTTTACCTTCTAAGCAAAATACCTCTAGGTTGTGGATCTTTTTGGTTTTTTTTGATAGTAACTGTTGGGGCTTTACTGAAGATACGTAGAGGCGGTCTTAATTTTCATTTTTTGCTTTTAATTTATTAACTATATAGCGCACATTATTTAAATATATTGCTAATAAGTTATGTGCGCTTTGCGCATCATTTTATATTCTTGCACATGCGCACATCGAATTTTTTTCACTGCTTGTGAAGTTATATTCTTAAAAAGTACTCAACTGTATACAAGTGACTCTTGATATAAGAAAGTTGCCGGGTCCAGTCAAAATCTTTCTTATATCGAGATTTTCTTATAACGAATGCTTTTTATTATAAAAATTCTCAATTGAGACTTGTAAAATCTTTCTTATATCAAGAGTTTCTTATATAAAACTTTCTTATATCGAGAGTGACTTGTAAATACAATTGTAAGTGATTGACCAATCAGAAGAAAGTTAGCCTATAGGATTTTTTGCGGGAGATCGCGTCGAATGTTGTTATAAATAAATTGGATCCGCGCATATATCAGCGCTCTCCGTATATATAAAGATTTCTTTTTTGTGTACATTTTTTTTGTGTCTGCGCCAATAAAAATTTTTTGAATTTATAACACTGTATATAACGATAATGACCTCTCTCAGACCACCGAAATTCGCTTTGATTGCCGGTAAAATTATGTTTTATTTTTAAATGTATATAATCTGTCGTTACGTTCAATTTCTCAAAAAAAAAAAAAAAACATTAGCTGCAGAAGAAAACTGGGGGATCGGAATTAAGAATACACTTCCATGGAAACTTAAAAAGGATATGGCATACTTTGAAAGGGTTACTAAAAAGATATTAGCGTCAAATGAAAATACCGATACATCTCTTGTTACTCCTAACAAGAAAATTCAAAATGCCGTAATTATGGGCCGTAAAACTTGGGAATCTATTCCTCTTAAATATAGACCATTGAAAGACCGATTAAATGTTGTTTTATCTAGAAGTGTGAAACTTGAAAGGTATTATCAAAAGTGACATTTTTACTTCTCTTTTATATAAACTTTTATAAACATATGTATATGTATTTGATTTATATAGTGATACACATGTGGTTCATTCATCCTTAGATGATGCCATTTCGAGTCTTACTGACAAACCTACAGTTGCACGCATTTTTATAATTGGTGGTGGTGAGATCTATAAAGAAGCAATAGAATTGCCTCTTTGTGAATACATTTTACTTACTAAAGTGTATAAAAATTTTAACTGCGACGCTTTTTTTCCAAAAATTGATGAAAATTTGTATGAATTAGCAAGTCATGATGAATTGGTGAATTTTACCGGTGATGATGTTCCGAAGGGTAGGCAAGTGGAGGGTGACACTGAATATGAATTCTTGATGTATAAAAGAAAGTAATACAATACTTGTGTAAACATGCACAATAAATAATTCTATTCCAAATGTTTACGTAATTCACATGGATCTGGAAAATTAAATAGTATTAGTGTTAACGTTGGTACACTTAAGTTTGCCTAATCCAACTCTCATTGCTAATTTCTTGTTTCCGAACTGGGCAACAACATAAATCCTTCTACCATTATAACCAAACTTTGTTAAATAAAGAATGGGTTGTTGCTGCAGTAAAGACGAAGGTGATGATGGTTCAAAGGTAAATTACAATATATTATCGTTATTCTTTACATATTGCAAGCGTCAGTCCTCTGTGGCAGATTGTAAAAGCGAACTTTCGTGTCAAATAGCCGAACGAACGATCCAACCTCATATCTGGAGACGGAAACTCTTATGTTGAGTTAATATCATGTTTACGTTCATTATCACTGAAATTTGGTGTAATAATTAATTGACTTTAACGTGTAAAAGAATATTGCTATTAATTTAGGCAGAGGATGGCCTATCCACGTTACGATGCTGTGGCAGATCGTGATAGAGAACGTGAATCATTGCAAAAAATCGTTCAACGAACAGCAGAGTATGTTTATCATTACTTTTGTGGTTTGCTTTATCTTTATCCATTTTAATTTTTCAATCTTATTTAGAAATCTTATTGACATATCAAACGTCCATGTTACTGAGCGATTGCAACAACAAGATGTAATAAATCGTGCTAATGAATACAAGTAGATAGTTTTACTTTATTTTTTTTTCATTTTATTATTTCTTGTCTATATTACTCACTTTCTTTATCTCAATTTAGAAATTTCATAAGTACAATTAAACTTGATTCGAAAACACTTCAAAAAATTCAAGAGAAGAACACTCTGCCCAAGTTGCAGAATAGAAAACCACTATCATTATCTCATATTTCAGATGTAAAAAATAAAACATTAATACCGCCTAATATTGTTTTAAGCGATGGTGGTTTAACTAAAGAAGACCAGACGTGGGTGGGTATATGATCTATTTTCAATTTTTCCATTCTTTAGTGTGTCCTATGTTCAAATTCATCTTTTATATTCAGTTACACAAAGCCATGGATGAAATACATGCTGCAATTGACCATATTGAGGTTGAATATGTGGGTGATTTGGTGGTTTCGTTGACATAGGCAGTACATTTTATTGTTATGGATAAAGTTATCTTGTGCATTTTTCTTATTTAACTAGCCGAACAAATTATTCAATTTGGTAAATTTGGTCGAGTTTATTCATAGCAATCTTCACTCTTTTAGCTTGCTGACCTTTACCATCATAAGTAGAATTTTTTTTTTATCGGACTATTTTCAATGAAATATTCATTGCTATTATTGTAATATATATTTCTGTAATTGTAGCATTTACAATTTGAGCCGATTTCTCAAATTAAAAATAGCCACCTTAATGGTCGCTACGTATAATCAATGTTGTTAAGCGAAGTATTTTAATAATAAATGATAGAGCAATTGGTACCTTACTATAAATAAAGATCGGCAATAAATAAATATATATATGTACGCTTTAGCTTCAATGTTAATAAATAAAATGCCAGATTGATAAAATAAAAACTTATTGTATACATCGTACGTCTTAATAGAACTGTTTAGATTTAGAGAAACCGGAATTTCAACCCTGCAATTAAGTTGATTCTAAATTTGATACCGAGACTGTAATAAATGTTTAATTGATTAACGTAACGATAGAGTATATTACATTTTACCATTAGGCAATACAAACTTAATAAATTGGTTCTCATAACATAGAATTTTTAAAAGTGACCCGGCAACCCGGTTTTTAATTTTTTTTTCAAAAAATTTTATAAAAACAAAATTTTTTATAGATT